TTGGGTGCCCTCGGGCAAGAGATTTCCAAGCATTCTTGGAGATAAAGCATTTTTTCAGAGAGGATTTCAGAACATTCTTGAAGCGCCTTCTGCAACCTCCTGGTAACTGCTATGATGGAGCTTGGAGTACAGAGCTTGTTTCAGGTGTCATTAGACATGTGGAAAATGTGGCTCACCCAGCACAGCTGATTGATAAAAACCAGTGCCTCTGCTGTGGAGGTTGTCACATTCTGTTTATCGAATTGCTGCTTGGTCTCACTTCACTGCTTCCCTTCACTTTGAAATATATCCACTTAACCCCATTCCCCCCACTAGTAAGTTTAAAGCTTTCTCTACTGTCCTAGTTATATAATAAACTGGAACTCTGGTCCTAGTCAGGATCAGGTGCAGAACGGCACAGCTCTCACTATCTCCAACACTTGTGTCTGAGCTCCAGGAAATGAAACCTGTTTTCCCCAAATAAATGTTGGAGCTACACATTCATCTCTCTAAACTTATTTACCCTTTGTCTATTTGTTTGTGGCTCAGGCAAGATTCTGCTTTGTAATTTAGTCCCTGGCTGCTCGTGTTTTTCTCAGCAGAACATCTTTCCTAGTCCGACCCATGTTCTTGATACCTGTATGGACCACAGCCATGTTAGGATCCTACTAACCCATTGCAAGTACATTGCCAGACCAGGGAAGGTATCCCAGACTCTGACACTGGGGAGGCAACACAGCAATATAGACTCTCATTTTTTGGCTTCAGAGAATGCTAGCTATGCTGCCCTCCACAAACATTGCATTCTGATGAAGTCTCCCACTGTTTGAGTGGCTTCCCATGTCATGTTCCACCTGCAGTCATCACATTGATCCATACAGGTTGTAGGAACCTCAAGCATATTGAGCAGTTGCAAAGACCAAGATTTCTCCACCTCCTGGGTCCCTGTACCTGCCTCACCCACAGTCGCAACTCCCTGTTGCTAACTACTGACCTGCAAATACTAACTGCAGATATGTCTGCTTTAGATCACACTGGAGCCTAGAAGATGCCACAACCTGCAGTCTCAACGTATTACCTTCCCAGCCTTCCTTTGTGACCTCATTAATTTTTATTCAATTAATTCATAAATCTAACCACTCCCAATAAGCTTTATTACCACTAGTAAACTTTACTAATACTAAATGATACCTCACAATTATTAATCAAATTCCTAGGCTTGAAAAGATGTGAGCAACATACGCACCAGCTAATCAGTTACCCATTTCCCTGTGATGTTACCTTCATCATAAATTACTCACCAACAAGTATGACTGTCCACCAAGGAAATTCGGTGTCATTGCTCCTGGGTTCTGTGGGTCTTTGTCTAGTTGATTAACTCAATCCTAGAGCCACAACTCCAATCACACAGTCTGGGAGGTGTTTCCAGGACGTGTTTCCAGGAGGTGGAAGTGGTCCTTGGCCTTGAGATGACTGGCATTCCTTTCTCGGGTTCCTTTTCTGTACTTCCTCTAGCTGCTGGGTTGCCTTATATTTTCACTTATATTTTCCCTGGGTGCAGTTTGGGAGGCACAGGAGTTCACAGCCAGACCTCTGCTCCACCTCATGCAGTTTTTTTTTCAAATTCCACTCTTCTGGATGATTACAAAGTTATAAAAAGAGAAAGGAGCACCTCCTTTCCAAAATCCTAAGTTCATGCTTTTGTCACAAGCCGCACTCTGAGACTTGGACTGGGGGAAGGTCAAATAACATGGACAGGAAGCATATGCCTAATCGTCAACCAAAAATGAATTCAACTGAAAAATGTAGACAAAGAACAAAAAACAATACAGCACAGGAACAGGTCCTTCGACCCTCCAAGCCTGCACCGACACATCTTGCCCTTCCATTGTAAAACTGTTATCACTTACATGTTCCATATCCCTGTATTCCCTTCCTATTCATGTATTCGTCCAGGTACTTCTTGAACGTTGCTATTGTGTCTGCTTCCACCACCTCCTCTGGCAGCACGTTTGAGGCACTCACCATCCTTTGTGTGAAAAACCTGCCTCGCACATCTCTTTTAAACTATCACACCTCACCCGCACCTTGAACCTGTATTCCCTAGTAATTGACCCCACCACCCTGGGATGCTGGATCAGGCCACAACTGGGCTCAGGTGTTGCCACTGTCCAAGTTACCGTATCTACTGCAATGACCACTCAAATCAGGTACTGGAGGCTGCTAATAATGCATTGATGCAGGAGATACATATGTTCTTGTAGCGCTTTCAGTTGTTGAGAGTCTTCAACTTCAGAACACTGTTTAAAAATCAGGGGTTGTCCATTTAAGACTGAAATTAAGAGAATTTTTTTCTTTCAAATGGTTGTTAGTCTGTGTGGAATTCTTTCCCAGAAGGCACAGTGGCTCAGCGGTTCGCACTGCTGCCTCACAGTTCCAGGTTCAATTCCACCCTCGGGTGACTGTCTGTGTGGAGTTTGCACATTCTCCCGGTGCCTGCGTGGGTTTCCTCCGGGTGCTCAGGTTTCCCCCCACACTCCAAAGATGTGCAGGCTAGGGTGGACTGGCCATGGGAAATTGCCTGTAGTGTTCAGGGATGTGTAGATTAGGTGGGTTATAGGGGGATGGGGGTGGGTGGGAAGCTCTGTTGGTTAACGTGGACTTGTTGGGCTGCAGGGCCTGTTTCCACACTGTAGGGATTCTGACAGTAGAGGCTGGGTTATCAAATATATTCAAAGCTGAACTGGATAGATTTTTAATCATCAGGGAGTACTGGGCTGACATTAGATTGGAGATCAGGCCACAATCATATCAGTCTTGACCTTACTGAATGGCCGATTCGACTACTATTCCTGCTGTTCTTTGGAGGCTGAACAGGGAAATATTGAGAATACTGCACCTAGTGAGATCCTTAAACCATTATTTGACACCATTTATTTTGTATTGAACTGCCATGACATTGCTCATTAGTGACCTAGAATGAGGGTATAAATGTTCCATTCTGAAGTTTGTAACAGAATGCAGCATGGCATTGGAGAGAGAGAGAGAGGGTAAAGGGAGAGATTCGGAGACAGAATTCTGGAACGAGTGGGCCTCAAGAGAAAGAAGGCGTAAATTCAGAAGAGTCATACTGCACTTGAAATGCTAACTCTATTTCTCTCTCCACAGATGCTGCCAGACCTGCTCCAGCATTGTGCTTCAGATTTCCAGCATTCTGCTTCAGATTTCCAGCATTCTCATTATTTTGCCTTTACTTATTATCCTTTTGTTGCAAGTTCCTATTCACCTTGGCAATAAAAACCTTGTTCCCATGATTTTCATTACAGCCATCATCCAGATTTCTGCAAAAAGGTCTAACTTTTATCAGGTGAAGCACTGCCTTCTAAAATGTTTTACTAAAGGGCATCATCTGTTAATAGCACTAGGGATGCAGACCACCATTGTGATGACTGGTATTTTAAGATATGAGAAAAATTATCTTGGATCTTCTCTCCATTCATTATGCTGTATTGGCAAGAAGAAAAAGTTGGTTAACTAGGTGGAAAAATCAATGACTGGCAACAGAGAATATTCTTTGTATTTTTAACCCACCTATTCCAGTTTGAGCAGAAAGCAGTAGCCTAAATCCATTTTAAGCAATAAGTTTATTATTAATAATAGCATTCTATTTGTTGCCAGAACAGTGAGACTGGTGGATTCCAGAACACTACAAATTAGTTTGCCGCTGTTGTTTTGCCTTTCTCTTTCAAGTCAAAGATTATGAGCTCAAATCCCACTCCTGCTCCTTGACTACTGCACAAAAATTGAACTGTTGGAGGTGCCAACAACAGATGAGATGGTAAAATGGGACCTGGACTGTCAGCCTGTGCTAGTGCATCCAGACAGATACAACAGACTTAATCGCAATGTGTTGGGCAAGTTGGTCATCTGGATTCCTGTGTCAATGTCTGTGTCTCAATCAAAATATTTAACTTATCATTTATCTCACAGGTTATTAATCTGATCCTGTGATGTCTAAATCAGCTGCTGAATTTATGTAAATACAGTTCAAAAGTAATTCACCATGCTAAATATGTGACAAGATACAATGTAACTATTTTTATTTGATGGAGATAGGGAAATAAAGCAAGTTTTTAAAAATTAAGCGGAAAAATGTTCCAAGTGTAAAAGACCAGAGGAAAATGCAATGCGGAGTTGCAGTGAGAAATACTAGTATGATTTCAAACGCAAGAGGCAACTACAGATAAAAAACGTTAGTGAATGATGCAACTATAAAAACATATTGAATAAAAGTACTGAGTATTGATATCCTGTTAACAAGAAAGATGGCAGCTGAATATTTCAACCTATTTAATTTTTCTCTTCTGTTTTCAAGTAATTCTTTTGTTGTCAGCATTCTTATCCATTTAGCTGTGAGCCAATGAAAATGAAGTTGCACTATGAAGCAAATTTAAGGTGCACTGCAGTATTGACAATATCAAATGTGATGCATATATTCCCAATGACAAGGCTTAACTACACATAATCTCTTTTTAACCATCCATTTTCAACATTCCGAGTTGCCTCAAAGATGCCAAATCACTATTTTCTATCAATGATGTTTCACTTTAAACTCTTAAAACCCTAGGAACTCCCCTGTAAATCTTTCTACATCTTTCCTCCTTTGTAGCATCTATTGAAACTTACCACATCAAGCTTTTGGTAATCTGCTTTAATATCTCCTCATGGGACTTAATGTCACCTGTTTTAGAACACTCCTGTGAAAGGCCCTTGGGATGTTATAAAGCCCTGTTTAAATATACATTTAGTAGCTCATTGCAAAGGAGCTGAAAATACAGCTCCTGTTTCTGAGAAGGTTCTTCTAGACAAGAAAAGTTTATTATTCAACTGCTCTCTGAGCAATTATTTTCAACAATAGTGGTGCATTGCTTATATACTTCAGCACTTCACCTCATGTGTCTCAATAAAAGGTTTGACAGGTGAAAGGAGATGAGAAAATAACCCCATTCAGTTTCCTTTAATTTCTATTAAATAGTCTTTATTCCATGAACAAGACATTTTGCATTTGAATTACATTGTGTACAGTATGGACTATGACAAAATACCAGTATCTTTATTTGCTTTGACTAATGAAAAAATATAAAAGCTGAAAACAGCTGATAACACCATAACAATATGAACTTAATAACCATAGATAGAATATCTACATCCAAATAAAGAATGCAAGATGACTGCATTTTAAAGGTTCACGATCATTTACTCTTTACCAACACAAAACACATGCACTCAAGGACTTAACTACCAAGCATATATTTTAAAAAGTAATGTAGCAGGAAATGGAAAGGAACTTCTTGATAAAAATGCATTCCATCCAAGTTACATTGGAACGTGACACTGTACTTAAACAAGATTGAAGTACAATATCACTCAGAATGCATTGGGCAATACACAAAATTAAATGTTATCTTATTCTCTTCGAAATGTTAACCTTTAAAACTACCCTTCGCCCCACCTGCTCCTGCTCATACATCTTTTCAAAATGAACGTGACAGCCTTTACAAGTGTAAATTGGGAGATGGTTAACCTTAAGAGGTGAAGGATTACAACAGTGATACTGAATTTATAACAAAAATGTGGATTTCAGTCAGAGAAGGTCTACAACTATCTAACCCAATGAAATGCATGTTACTTGCTAGAGGGGATTAGGTATGAGAATTCAGATAAGCAACAGGGCAGAAAAGCAGCATTGGCCAGTTTGCATTCTGAAACCAACTGACTGACTATTGCCACATGACTGTCTACAATTAGGAAGCCACTGAATTAAAGCTGACCTAAACAATTAAGATGTGGAAAGCTTCTTTTCTTCTCCAAATTGAGAGCGTTTCATTTTCTATCAGCACTTTAGCTTTGATCAGCATACTTTAATAATAATCATTACACATACCAGAGCCTTAAATAACAGGTCACTGGTACAGATACTGATCCACCACAGAATCAGACCAGACCAATCCTATGTCCCTTTAGAATAAGCTTAACTGTTCAGATCACATTAACTGGTTACAAAAATCAGTGAAGCCCATATGTGTAAAGTGGTTGATAGATATTTCTGCAAGATGCAATAGATGTTTAATAAATCTAAATATTTTCAGCAATTGTGGGGAAATTGTGTCCTTGTATATTGTTTGACAGCAACTTTATAAACTCAAAGGACTCCCAAGATCGCACAAGCATTGACTAAAATGGAAATCTGTCCTTCATGGAAACTGATGAATTTAAAAGTTAGGTGTTTGTGGACAATTATCAGTCATAGATTAGTTTTACAGGTTCAAAAAAATCTAGAGTTATATAGCCATGCAGTCGATAAGAATATTTTTAAAAAATATCCCAACTATAGGCAACCTGTTTTTACTTTGTTGTTGACTGACCAGTTGTTCAGTTCCAGTTTTTTGTTCTCTGATTTCCAACATTTACAGACTAAATATTAAACCAAACAGCACATATATGAAGGGTTGCATCCTGTTATTGCTGGCAATGGAGCAAAATCGTGCAATTAATATACTTAATAACAGTAGAGATATTGGTCCTCAATCTTTAAAAATGAGCTTGTCAGCAAACTACTGCCACCAGAATCATACCTAACATATCAGGCACATGGACAGTTATTGGGACATTTTGAGTATCATGACTCTTAAACAGCCAGCAGAGGCCATTAATAAGCACCTGCAGTGGTCCTGTTTCTTCAAATATTCTTTACTACCAAACAGTTTGGTTAACATTGATTTATGGGTGCACACTTACTTCTATGTAAATAAAATTCCTTATGAAGTATTGAAAAGTCTAGCCAATGGGATGCAGGATAGAAAATTTTTAGAATGATTTTATCCAAACTCTAAACATTTATGAGAAGCAACAATGCAATGGATAACAAAGAAAATCTTGATGCCTTGTGCATAAAATATTCATTAGTGGTGAATGATAATAAAGAACAAGATACAATTATAAAAGCAAGACCCAAAAACTGTGGAGTTAGGGAGTGCACTTCAACTTAAAAACAGTACAGACTACAGCAAAACAGCATACTAGTAACATGGCTAAAGAGGGATCAAATGAAGTGAAATCTACTTTACTTCATACAAAGAAAATCACAGCTGTTTATTTTTCATCTACAATTTAAACTTATTACTTCAATAGGAATAATATTATAATACTGGAAATAAAAGACCAAGTTAAAGCTCAGTTTGGTCTGTTACAAGATTTGGGTCTAGGTGCCATTATATAGAACTGTCTCTCACACATACACGTGACCATTTAATACGTCTGATCACCTATTCAAGACTGAAAACAAGTTGTGTCCACCATGGTTACAGCATCAGCTGTAGGCTCTGGAGTCCTCGATATCAATTGCTTATTTCCCCTCAGAACCAAGTTAAAGCTTGGACACTATCAGATTTCATCAGCATCACAAAATTTTATTATGCAGAAAATCTAGGGGATTGCGTCAATCAGGGTTTCTTTCACAGAGATCACGCTTCCAGAGAAATATACTGAAGTCAGAACAAATCTGCACGACAATGCCACAAAATGTTTGATGAATGTTTCAATAGGTTATGACAAACTAGAAACCATTTTCTAAGCTAGCGCTGTACAGCTCAGTTCAGTTTTTTTTAAGGATGTCTGCCTTCATTGCAATCTTAATAGGCATTGTGAATATACAGTAGTGTCATTTAGTGTATCGTGAACAAGCAGGGTATCCTTGCTGACTGGAAGAGAGTGGGAAGTAAGCAAAACTAAAAATCGTCACGCAGATCAAAACAACTTTAAAAAGTTCTGGCAATCTCACACATTCGGTAACTGTTGCAAATTAAACATATATTTTATTCAATCCAATTGAAATTAGAGATGTGCCATTTCCCCTCAAGAATGAAGATACTTGCGTACCAATATCAACAATAACCTAAGGCCTGAATTGCAGTTAGGCTGTTGTTGTGCACAAAGACTTGTGCAGCTAAAAAGGTCCCTTGAGTTTTACTCTGGTCTAAAACACCTCTCCCCCTCAACCGCTGCCATTCACAATGAGGTCCAACAATATTTAACATTTCAAGTAAGCTAGTTAAGGTTACTAAAACCTACTACATTTAAAAAAGGTGGCTCCCTCCTATTGAAATCATGCAGGACAGTGGCCATGTACACTGAAAATTGCTCGAAGTTCTGATCAGAATTATAGCAAATAAATAGTTAAGGAATCAGTCAAAACACACATAAATTTCGATAACAAAGTAATCAACACACAGAATAGTCAGAGACTGAAATGCAAGGGTCAAATTTAAGTACCTCCTTCTTAGTAGAAACCTTGGATCCCTCAAGATCAGGATTTGCCCTCCTGGAATACCAATGCCAATTGTGGACCCACTACCTGAATTTAACAGCTAAGCAATCATTTCCTGCAAAGTTGGCAATTAACGAGGCCCAGAAATTTAATTTTGCTGAGCCTCCCTGCTTACAATCCAAGTCGGGCCAGCCGATGCCTTGCTGCATTTCAAACCAGGGGTTCAAACTGAGTCCATGATAAATGAATTCTACATGTAAAATCTGTAGATGAAGAAAGTGATAACTGAGGCATCTCATCTAATCCAAACACTTGCCTATGACCTTGGACTAGCTTGTTTTGTAAAACACCTTTTGATAAATGCACTGCTACATTTCTGGGTTGAGTTTATTTACAAGTACCTGCATAATCAGCCTGAACTGCATCTACCCACTCCCAGACATTCTGTGCCTCCATAGTTTGAACTAGTGACAACTTCAAGGTTTGGAGCAATGGTGCACCAGGACTTTGCACAACGATGAGTACAAGGAAAATCAAAACATTCCCTTTGTGCAATTCATTCCAGTTCCATTTAAGAAAATATATATTTAATGGTACACAATGAAGTGGATACAGTTCTCTGCAAAGGGGCACACAAATCAGTACAATTTTAAATAGAAGAGATTATTTCAAAACATGAAAGGAAGGGATGGGAGATAAGTTTTATAAAAGGAAACACTAAGCTTGATGATCGAAACGTGTACCCATTTGCGACAATTATAATTTATTTTAAACCTTGCAGCAAAAAAAAAGGCATGTTCTACAAGAGTTATTATTGCACATCAGTCCATGAAATTTGTAGCACACCACCTCCAGAAGGATAGTACAATAGATACACAGACTGATGTATCGTAGCAACGTTCACAGGACAAATACCGTATTTATAAAAGTGCTGTGGAAATTCAGGTAGTGTATTGGAGCTACAGGACTTCCAGGTTTCTTCTTGGTACATAGTTAAAACTGTGAATGATAGTGAAGAGTTTGGTCAGGAACGATTAATTAGTGTCATCAAGTTGGGAATGGTTCTTTTGGTTCCCTTCTTTGTGCTTAGGAGCAGTTTCATTTCTTCTTTGCATGGACATTTTTGCAGACCCAGTTCATTCCATCCTGAAAAACATTAAATTACACAGCAGGATTCAACACCTTTTAGCAAGCACAGGTGAGTGTTAAACCAAAATTTAGTTTGCTGAATAGGTGTTGCTGACAGACTCATTTGGATACCTACTGCATTCTACTCAACATTTTGAATAAAGGGCGAACAAATGACAAAATTCTTGGTGCTACCCTACCTCTAAACCAGTGGACCACAATAGCTTGGTGCAGCCCAAACAGAGATCTTGAAGGTACTGAATGGAAGATTCAGGAAGCCTTTATTCTAGCTGGAGATTTGTATCATCAGTTGGGCAATAGCATATGCAGTCCAGACAACCCATCAGGACTGGATGAAGAATTGGGTAGTAGCACCTTGATTTACCTTCAATGACAGCAATATCCTAAAAAAGATTAAGCTTTTGGTGTTTAAGACATCCAAATAATTCACCTTCATGGTCTAGAAATTCTGGGAACTTGGAAAAAAAGGGATTCTTCAGGCCTAAATATAACATGAATAACAAGAGGTGGATTTGTGGCAAGGAGTAGCAATGATTACAGGGAGAAAGGTCTTTGTCCATGCTGAGCTAAGCCTGAGCTCAGAGTCCTAGATCTAACCATCTTCAGCTGTTTCATTCATGATATTCCCTTCATAATAAGATCAGAAGGTTTCCTGCTGGTTTAGTTGAGTGTTCATTCCCACTTGCAATTTCTCAGATAATGAAACAGACTTTGTCAACATTCAGATTCAGCTGCCAAGTAGGAAACAACATTTGCAGCAGGCAATAACCATCTCAAACCAGGAGAAGTCTAACCTTGACAACATTGACATTAACATTAACATTATTGATTCCCTAACCACGAACGTCCTGGGGATCACCACAGGTCTGAAACTTAACTGAACAAGCCACACAAGTACCCTGGCTACAAAACAGATCAGGGGCTGGGTATTCCATAATAAGTCTCTCACTTTCTTGCTGCTCAACACTTTTTGCCACCTATGAGGTGCAAGTTAGGAGTTTGATGGAATACTCCCTACATGCTTGGATGATGCATTTCCTGAGTACTTCAGATGGGTCAGTTTTTGTCCAATGTGTGCAGGAGGGTTTCCTGACACAGTATGTAGATAGGCCAACAAGAGGCGAGGCCACATTGGATTTGGTACTGGGTAATGAACCAGGCCAGGTGTTAGATTTGGAGGTAGGAGAGCACTTTGGTGATAGTGACCACGATTCGGTTATGTTTACTTTAGCGATGGAAAGGGATCGGTATATAAAGCAGGGTAAGAGTTATAGCTGGGGGAAAGGCAACTATGAGGCGATGAGGCAAGATTTAGGATGCATAGGATGGAGAAGGAAACTGCAGGGGCTGGGCACAATTGAAATGTGGAGCTTGTTCAAGGAACAGCTACTGCGTGTCCTTGAGAAGTGTGTACCTGTCAGGCAGGGAGGAAGTGGTCGAGCGAGGGAACCGTGGTTTACTAAAGAAGTTGAATTTCTTGTCAAGAGGAAGAAGGAGGCTTATGTAGAGATGAGGCGTGAAGGCTCAGTGAGGGCGCTTGAGAGTTACAAGTTAGCCAGGAAGGACCTAAAGAGAGAGCTAAGAAGAACCAGGAGGGGACATGAGAAGTCTTTAGCAGGTAGGATCAAGGAAAACCCTAAAGCTTTCTATAGGTGTGTCAGGAATAAAAGAATGACTAGAGTAAGATTGGGGCCGGTCAAGGACAATAGTGGGAAGTTGTGCGTGGAGTCCGAAGAGATAGGAGAGGTGCTAAATGAATATTTTTCGTCAGTATTCACACAGGAAAAAGACCATGTAGTCGAGGAGAATACTGAGATACAGTCTATTAGACTAGACGGGATTGAGGTTCATAAGGAGGAGGTGTTAGCAATTCTGGAAGGTGTGAAAATAGATAAGTCCCCTGGGCCGGATGGGATTTATCCTGGGATTCTCTGGGAAGCTAGAGAGGAGATTGCAGAGCCTTTGGCTTTGATCTTTATGTCGTCATTGTCTTCAGGAATAGTGCCAGAAGACTGGAGACTAGCAAATGTTGTCCCCTTGTTCAAGAAGGGGAGTAGAGACAATCCTGGTAATTATAGACCAGTGAGCCTTACTTCGGTTGTGGGTAAAGTGTTGGAAAGGATTATAAGAGATAGGATTTATAATCATCTAGAAAGGAATAATTTGATTAGGGATAGTCAACATGGTTTTGTGAAGGGTAGGTCGTGCCTCACAAACCTTACTGAGCTCTTCGAGAAGGTGACCAAACAGGTGGATGAGGGTAAAGCGGTTGATGTAGTGTATTTGGATTTCAGTAAAGCGTTTGATAAGGTTCCCCATGGTAGGCTATTGCAGAAAATACGGAGGCATGGGATTGAGGGTGATTTAGCGGTTTGGATCAGAAATTGGCTAGCTGTAAGAAGACAGAGGGTGGTGGTTGATGGGAAATGTTCATCCTGGAGTTCAGTTACTAGTGGTGTACCTCAAGGATCTGTTTTGGGGCCACTGCTGTTTGTCATTTTTATAAATGACCTGGATGAGGGCGTAGAAGGATGGGTTAGTAAATTTGCGGATGACACCAAAGTCGGTGGAGTTGTGGATAGTGCGGAAGGATGTTGCAGGTTACAGAGGGACATAGATAAGCTGCAGAGCTGGGCTGAGAGGTGGCAAATGGAGTTTAATGCGGAAAAGTGTGAGGTGATTCATTTTGGAAGGAGTAACAGGAATACAGAGTACTGGGCTAATGGTAAGATTCTTGGTAGTGTGGATGAGCAGAAAGATCTCGGTGTCCATGTGCATAGATCACTGAAAATTGCCACCCAGGTTGATAGCGTTGTTAAGAAGGCGTACAGTATGTTAGGTTTTATTGGTAGAGGGATTGAGTTTCGGAGCCATGAGGTCATGTTGCAGCTGTACAAAACTCTGGTGCGGCCGCACTTGGAGTATTGCGTACAGTTCTGGTCTACAAAAAAAATGTCACAAGCCTGTGATGGTAATCCAAGGAAGATAACAAAACACAATGTACACCATAATAAAATAATTGCATACTTTCTGGATGTGAAAGAAAGCGACTGCAGCAGCATACCTGCACACCCTCTCCTGTAAGTGCAGAGCAAGACTGGATCTGCCAAACACGGTCACGAATTGTGTGCAGATTCAATCCCTCAGCAATCTCTGATGCCGGGGCAGCTGTAAGCAAGTCCTGCTTGTTGGCAAATACGAGAACGGGAACACCACTCAGCTTCTCTTCATCCAGAAGCTCAGCAAGCTCCTGGAAGCACATTCAAATAAAAATGCTCTTTTTATTCACTCGCAGGATATGGGTACCTCTCGCTAGGCCAACATTTATTACCCATCCCTGTTCACCCAGAAGTCAGTTAGAGTCAACTACATTGCTATGAGTCTGGAGTCACACGTAGGCCAGACCAGGTTAAGATAACAGATTTCCTCCCCTAAAGGACATTAGTGAAGCAGATGAGTTTTTCCGACAGTTATTTACCAAATGCACCAATTGAATCATCTTATCCCTGAACATAAGGAGCCACAACACTTTAAAATGCTAGTTATGTTCCTGCTATTCTAAAGTGCTAAGAATCCCATTCCAATGAGCACCCCAATTTCAAAAGCCAATTCAGAGATAAAAATGAGTTGGTTGGTTGGCCCTCATGCTTGCTTGCTTGCTTTCTCTCTCTCTCTTTCTCGGTCTCTCCCCGCTTTCCACCCCCCACCATTACCTCATTACTTTAGATGCATATTTATCCTGGACGACTTCGCTGCACACTTTGGCAAGAGTGTCTGAACCATTCAATGGAAACCAAGCTAAATTTATGAAGATCTCTATGCATATTTTCTTACCTATACAACGTAATGATAAATTGAAAAAGCAATTATCTTCTTAGTTGGGGCATTTAATAAGTTAAATATCCATAAGGAACAGTTGATCCTTTAGCCTCCAACACACCACCATTCCGTTGTGGCCTTTTCTTATCTCCTGAAGATCTTCTTCCAGTTCTTCACAGGTTCTAAATATGCTGCTTTACACATGCTTCCTCCTCATTACATCACTAAAAACTGAACTAAAGACTCAGCTCTTTACTGTACCTCTTTGAACTGATCCTCATCCATCAAGCTTCACTAATTTAGAATCAGGCAAAAATCAACATTGAGCCAAAGGAGGAAATGCTGGGAAAGGTGATGAATTGATTAGTCAAATGTGCAGGTTGTTTAAAAAATAGAATATTTTGTATTACGCTTTTCAGAACTCACTCATGACTGTAAAAGAAACAACACATGCATGTCAATTACAAAGTGGACCATTTCATGCCCACTAACTATTGCATCCACTTTTGCTTTTATTTGCCCTAAACCTTGCTTTCCTGGTCAGATAGAGTAAAAAAAATAGGACTACTGCAGAGTCATGCTGTACCATGTCATGGACTGATGTGTATAAAATTTCAGGAGGTAAAATAATGCTATTTACCTGCCCTGTTTCTTCAAACCTTTTTCGGTCTGCGCTGTCAATGACGTATATCTGGAAGAAAATCGCAATTGGTTTAAAAGTCAGAGGAGAGAAGATACATTGCAAAAACAGAAAAGAAGAACCCTTGCATTTTACAACTTAAAGAAAAATGCAGCTATTTAAAATGGCTTACGAACTGGCAAAAACCAAATGCTTCATTGCCCACTTTAGAGCAGGGACATCAAATTCAATTCTGATCTTGATCGCAATAGCAGCAGTGACCAGCGAGCAAGATATTTACAACAGAACACCAAAATCCTAATGATGATAATCCTGTGGTGTAATTGTTTCCACATCATAAAGAATAGGAACAAAGCAGCCCAGAAAAAAGGTCACTAGACGAGAAATGTTAACTTTGTTTTCTCTTCACAGATGGTGCCAGACCAACAGAGTTTTTACAGCAATTTGTTTTTGTTTCGATTTTCAGCATCCGCAGTTGTTTTTTTTAAAAACAAAGCAGTACTGCTTTACCCTGCAAATAAAACAAAACAGTACCAGTGCCACAAGTCTGAAACAAAGACAAAAATGCTGGAATCAGCAAGCAAGTCAGGTACTTGTGGAAAGGACAGAAAGTTAATGTTTCATGTGTGCCTCTGTCAATAAAGAACTAATTTTATTTGCTCCATTGCTGGTTTTTTGAGGTTACAGACTTTGCACAGGTGGCTGATTTAGAAACATATATGAAGTCTGTATTAGAGTCTGTTCGAAATGTCATGAATGTAACCAAAGGATGTACGGAAAAATTCAGATTTATGCTGTATAATGTGGCATATGACTTTTGATGTGGGTGTCACTAGCATTTATTGCCCATCCCTACAAAGGGGGCATAAAGATTGCTATTCTTCTGATTTTGGGGTGAATTAACAACATATCCTTTGTTAACTCAGGTAGTAATACTAAGTAATCGAGCAGAGATATTAAGATTGCTCCATGCTAACTGAGCGTTACATTTTCTTAATTCTAAAACCAGACCATACATATCTTTCAAATTGGGATACTCTCCTACTCTAATACTTTGAGATATATTATCAGTGAGCAATGCTAACTGTGTAAACTTGAATGTCTTAGGTGTTTTAACCTGCAAGAACAGTTTGAATAAAGAAAGCTCTTAGGCCAGTTTGATCATATCCAACCAGAAAACTAAACGCACTATCTTTGCATGATAATAACCAGTAGTTTATGAATAAAGTTGCATTCTGGTCTTAACATGACCCCCAACATGCTGTTCTGGCTATAGATTAGTCAACTGTGCAATAAACAAGACTGATTTGGATAAAAGTAACACACTAGCCATGACCCATATAGCTCTCAACCATTGTCTGTAAGTAATTTAGAGCTGATCATGTGTAGTATTGTACCTTTCAGCTGAACCCACTCCTCTGATTAATGAGTTAGAAATGCAGGAGGGTGGCAATGTATTTGGTGGGAAATTAGACTGACCTCAAATTGTGTTGGACATGAAGATCTGTAAAGACAGCTTTCAAACTTTGCCCTTTTCTAAAAAAAAAGAGTCTTTAGATGGCACCTTAGCTATGTAAGAATTATTCAGGTAATGGCAGCTAATGTTATGGTTTTGGGCAAGTCCCATACCGGAGGCCAGGGTGGGGAAGTGAGTCACGGAAAGGAGTCCTGGACTGGAGGCTGGCGCAGACAGGCGAGGCCCTTGTGGACTGGAGACGAGGCTGAGAGTTTTGAAACCCAGTGTGGACTGGAGACTTGGCCCAGTACAGACTGGAGGCTAGGTGCTGGCAAGGACTTGGATGAAAAGGACTGTAATTCGAGTTTGTTTTTTCCTTTTATTATGCTGAACTTTTAATTATTCTTCTTCCAATTTTGATGAATCATAGAATCCCTACAGTGTGGAAACAGGCCCTTTGGCCCAACACGTCCACACCGACTCTCAGAGCATCCCACCCAGACCGATCCCCCTAAAACTCAACTAATCTACATATCCCTGAACACTATGGGCAATTTAGCACGGCCAATCCACCTAGCCTGCACATCTGTGGACTGTGGGAGGAAACCAGAGTACCCGGAAGAAACCCACACAGACATGGGGAGACTCCACACAGGAGTGCAAACTCCACACAGACAGTCCCCGAGGGTGGATTCGAACCCGGGTCCCTGGCTAACCACTGAGCCACCATGCCACCCCAAATACTTAAGTACCTGTACCTAGGTATCTTGTACCCAAGATGGTGCCATAAGCAGAGATTGAAAACTTTTCACTGCACTCATTCAAGTGCATGTGACAATAAAGCTAATTCTAACTCAAAGAACAGGGACTAGCACACCCATAGCTAGCATCAATAGCATTTATGCTATAAATCCAGCCAAGGATTCATAAATCAATGTTACAGTAAGGTGGCTTCTGATTACCTTACAAACATCAAGTTATATACTTAGAAAAGATAAAAGAAATCCGTAAGACTTTTAAAAAATTAATTTAAGAATTGCCTTTCAAGCCCTTGTGATAGATCTGTGAAGGCAGAAGGGCATGTCAGTAAGGGTGGTGAAAAAGGCGTATGGGATATTTGCCTTTATCAATCAAGACATAGATTACAAAAGCAGGGAAGTCATGATGGAGTTGTATAGAACTTTGGTGAGACCACAGCTAGAGTACTGCAGTTCTCGCCACCACATTTTAAGGATGTGGCTGCACTGAAGCGGGTGCAGAGGAGCTTCACCAGGATGCTGCCTAGGATAGAGCATTTAAGTTTGTGCTGGTAAATGAGATTAGGTTAATGGTATTTCTCATGTGTCAGTGCAGACTTAATGGGCCAAAGGACCTCTTCTGCACTATACAATTCTATGAAGCAAGAACTTGACTGGTCAATTTTCCACAAAAGCAGATTGAGACACCCCAACTTATGACCCTGAAAATCAAACTTATTTCAATCTAAAATTACTCGAGCCTACTGACTCCAAAGCTCATGCCAAAATTTAGGGTTACACAGAGAAACGTTCCCTTCTTTCTTTAAAAACTCCAAGTTCGATTGCTGTGCGCTTGGAATTAGGGAGCAATGACCTGACCAATCTATCCTCTGCAATAATGATAAGCCAACAGCATTTGATAGCTAATAAATAAATTAAAACCCTATCAACATTGTTGGTTACATTTTGTTTTCATTAAAAGAGGAATTTTAAATATAGAGAGTGAGCCAGTTTAACAATACTGGTAACAGTCCACAAACAATTAGGTTGAATGTAAAAGAGAATGAGTAAATATGTAAATACTCACAAGCACATCAGTATTTTCAAAGTAGTTTCTCCAATACGGCCTTATCTTTCTCTGTCCTCCAATATCCCACACATTTAATTTGAAACCTTGAGACTGCACACTTTTAATATTAAATCCCTGGGGAGATAAGAAAGGAGTTTCTTTTATGAAGTTAGTTCCGGTGCAAGTTTATAATGAATCTAAATTAATTCCAAACAAATGAACAGTCGAGTAGTCACTGCAGTCAGGTCACTGCAAAGCCATGTTAGCATTTTTGTTGAAATTCAAACCACTTCAAAAAAGAGAAAGAAAGCACTCAAAAGGCAAGAGTCACAGAAATTGTAGCACTAATATGTTAGATTATGACAGACAATGACTACAGTGGAATTTACATAGGAGATCAGCAGTCAAAATTTACAGCATTAGGTGCGCAGGAGTCAATAAATGGGGTAAAAACAAATAGGACATGATGTAGAACTGGATATAGGCTAGAGTGTTTTGGGTAATCTAAAGTTTAAGGTGGTGGAAGATAGGAGGCTAGCAGAGAATAGGAATTGACACGTCCATCAGTCTGGATAAAAATTTCAGCCATAGATAGGATGAAGAATGATACACAGGCATGGTGGAAGGAGGAAATAATGGAAGAATACATTCAATCTAAACATCAGCTTTTGAAAGAATCATTCAGTATTTAGAACTTATTTATTTTAAAACTGATATCAGAGCATAAAATCACTAGTAACTTTACCGGTGTTCTTTTGGACATATAATTTTCACATTTCATGCCAATCCTGTCAAGTCAAGAACTGTCAACTCAGGGATTCAGTTGTATAACTGGAAATCCTCAAACATATTTAAAATTTATACTTTTCTCAAATAATATTTAATATCTTTCTAAATATTTAGCATAAAGAGAGTGAAGATGTTCAATATTCTAATTGTGGAATAATTCATAACCTACTCAGTAAACTGAACACCACATCTTATCACAATATAAACTAGACCCCACTGTTCTTCATACATTCTCTTTATTCTGATCTCTGCAGTTAATAGTTGTGAATAATACAGAAGTTATATGAAGGGCATTACTCACTCCAACATTTAAAGCATAAACATGCTGTGCCACCTTTAACGAGATCATTTTGCGTGGCTTCTGTAGGATTAAAGTAGTCATATGCAATGCATACTTCATCTGAGGTTGGAGGTTAATCATTGTTGTAGTGAAGGGTTTCTGCTGCTTGCTACGTAACTATCCAACTAATATAGTGACTGGCAGAAGGTTGTACAAAGGATATTTCCCCCAATTGGCTTGCAAACAATTTTCATTACACCATTGAATCTCAACACAATGTGTTTTAAAGAAATACCAACTTTTACACCATTTTCTCCAACAGTTGAATAACTGCCACACAGATTATAGACATGTAGCATTTTAAAATTGTAAAGATTACCAGAAAGCATATTAATTGATAGAACGTACAATATGAAATTATACAAATTCAGCCACAATTGGGGATTTACTAAAAAAAAAAAAGGGCTTTACAAATTACAACCCATATTCCAGATTCAGCCAATGAGTAGGGGCTATTTGGTCCTCTCCTCAGCATGCATCTGTACTCTCCTTATCACTACTGTTAGTTCCAGTATACGTTGTTCCTGCTCTTTCACTGCTGCATGCTGTCGCTGGACTTCCTACGTCAGGCATTTCCATTTGTGCAATGTGTGTTGATTCACTTGGAGCAGCAGCAGGTGGTAGCAGTCCTTAGAAGGAGCAACTCCTACAAGGTCAAGAATTTGGAGAACAGCAGTAACACAAAGGGCGTGAACAGGAGATGACAACCAATTTGAGCTGCTGGAAGGTGGGGAAAGGAAAAAGTTCCCTGTTGAACTTGGGGCACAAAGAAGAAATACAACAAAAGGTCAAGTGACGCCAAAGTAAAAAAATACAGTCTGGGGAAATCCCAAACAGGTCTGGCATCAAATCACAACTGTAAACAAAACCCAAGGACTTAAAGGTAAACATCTGAATGATCATGAAGAGAAAAAATTTGAGCAATCTGTCATTTAAAGGAAGAATTATTTATTTCCATTCTTCCATGATATGCTTCTAGAATGCACTATTGGAAACACATTCAAGTAATAGTACTGCAGGGTCTGTCAAAGCATCCTTCATTTATGAGGACTATATAGGATTCACCTCATGTTACAAGAATAACTACAGTATGGATGCACATCTTAGAATTAAGCTGGGGGTTGCAAAAGAAATTTTATCACATGCAGTTGACATGATGTAGTTAGTATTTGGTTTAAATTAGAATTGTGGCTTTATGCGCAATTGAACTAACCTAAGATGGAGGTTTAGTTGAGTACATTTTAAAATTGTAAGCTTCTAAAAGAATCAGATCTCCAAATCTGAGTAACTCATTTAAGTTTTAAAATACTGGTTTTAATTGCTAGTTTTAAGCTTTAAATAATCTAATTGGTTACTAAATAACTGCTTTCTAAAAACACACAATAGTCAACCAGACTTGCTGCTTCAACTCAAGATGAGAAAAAAAGTAATCTTTTGAGTATGGCTATACAAATCAATGGGGTCCATGGAATAAATCACAATGGTACAGTGTCAGTCATCTGCTGGTGGGAGGACCAATAATTTTCAGCTTCTTAAATGGTATCTAACACAAAACAGCAATATTGCTCAACAGAAACAGTGGGGACAGGGTGCGAGGCGAAAGGGCTAGAAAAAGAATGTGTATTTCTCTTAATTCAAATAAGACAGCACCTTAATTGAAATACTGTGCAACACCAACTTTAATATTAAAATTTCATCTCTTTGAATTGACAAGCAGAAACAGTAAAGATAAATGGCAGTCAATCCAGTAGAAATTAATCAACCATGCAGGCACCTTGATCAACATTCCCTGCAATTTTTTTTTCCACAGGGAAGACCTCTGAGGTCCATATGCAGCTGTAGCTTCTGGTAATGCGTCAGCATGCTGATAAGTGTACACAGCCTAGAGGGAACATTAACTATTATCTAATGATGTTCATAGGACAATTGTTCTGGTGCTTCCAGGCACAGCCAACATCATAAACACATCATACGAGAAAATTGCAGGAGCAAACCAAATCCACCGTAATTTCTGCAGCCTCATGAGTCTTTCTTGACCACAAAGATGTCACATAGTTTTGAATATTTAAGTATAGAGGTCAGTAGTACTTAAAGCTGCATTTACATGACAGATACACTAACTTCAAATTACTATTTTGATGCCTTTCCAGAAGATATTTTACACATTAAAGGCAAAGGAAGATAATATTTTCTTTTTTGGAAACGTTTGTCAGTGTTCTGTATACTCAGGACGAATAAACGTGGTTAGTTCACAACTAAAACTCTCTATATTCTATCCTACGATCAGCAAAATCTGTATAATTTTAGAGCAATTAGGCATTTTGTCACAGATTTAAATGACCATATTCCCACATCTGCCATCCGTAGGCTTCCCTGGTGAGACTGCCATTCTATCACTGAATTAGGGGCAATCTCCTGTCCTAAACCTATGCCTGGAGAACTAGATAGAGGTGGCCAAAATTGATTACACGTGACCCTTCCACTGAGACAGACAGGATTTTCTTCTCATCAGTCTGGGTTGTATTTTAACTCCAGTCTCAGATGAAAATCAGAATCTAAACCATTGCAACATGCAGTTACATGGAAATTAGAGCCTTGAAATTTAAAATCACCACGTATGACAAACATTACCTGTGTGGGTGTGATGTGACTGATGTCTTCCGAAGCTAGCTGTTTAAGTAACGTTGTTTTCCCTGCATTGTCCAAACCCAAAAGGAGAATTCTAACCTCCTGATCAGGGGCGCTCTTCAATTTTCGCAAGATTGATAGAAGACCCTAAGAATAAGAAAAAGTAGTCACCCTTACCCGCACATATAGGTAAACCCAGCTTTCTGCTCTTTACACCAGTGGCATATATACCTAGGTGTTGTGAAGAATATGAACAAGATTCTTGATTTCGCAACTTGGTATAGTGTGACATCAAATGGCAGTAGAAAAAGTAATTGTCCATATTACAGTGCATCTACACTTGCATGCACTCTCCAACATGAGATGGAATTATGCTAAATGCTAAGCTGTCAAATGCCATTCTATTTTCACCTCACTGGCATTTAAAAAATCAAGACTTATTCCAGTGTCTCCTACTCCAACTCATTTTTCCAAAGATACCTCATCTCTCTACTCTTTCCTGCCACTCAAATTGTCAAGTTTTTACAGCTATAGTTCAGTGTCATTGCTGTTTTCTGATTTACATTATCAGCAATTTTCAACTTAATTACACAAAGGGTGGTGAGAACAATCACAGGGAGCAATTGAGATGAATAGTATAGAAGCAGTCAGTGGAAGGTAGCTAATCACATGAGGGAGAATAGAGAATTATGAATCACAGAGTTTGATAAGGAAAGATGGAAGGCAGTTTGAGTGGAGCATAAGCTGACACTGATTAGATATACTACAGAGGCCATTCAGCCTAATGTAATCTTCCTACACACTATGACCAGTTGGTGTCCTGAAATTTTGTGGCTCTCTTGGTTTAAACAAATATAGCAGGCACAACCAATTTTAAGCATCAGAATCGATTTTGGCACATTCTCACCTGCCTGGGAAGGATCCTACATTTTCCCATTCTTGGTTTTCTTTAAATCTATCCATTTCACAGGAGAAGAAGTTATGACCTGTCCTTCAAATTTTCACAGGGAAGAAGCAATTGGAAAAGTTCAAAATATTCCTGTATATTCCTGTGCAGCACTACTCCCCAAGTTCCATTATCCACATTCTCCCATCTACTTAAAATACAGTAAGTGTGCTATGCATCATTCAAGATACACTTCTTCAAAACACTTGGTCTCATGGTAACTACTTAACAACCAAAGGTAACAGATAATCATTGCAAAGATTTGGTTTCAAGATTCAAATGCAATAGCTGTCTCACCCAATTTCATTTGTAAAAGTGTTCCTCCTTCACTTCCCAGAAGAACGGGATCCAGAACGCAACTCTACAACTTACAGCAGATTACTAAGCCTATCACTCTGTTTTCTATTTGAGGTAGACTACTGGGTAGACAGGCACAATGGTCAGATTACTATCCCATTTCTTTTCTTTGAGATGCCATTCATAAAATAAATCTTTTTTATTTGTCAGGAGCTTGCTGTTATAAACATCCAGAAGTTTCTTGTTCAACTGACAGTTTGTTCCCTACACTTAGCATCATTTCGCTTAAGGGATTTCAGCCAATTTAGTTTTTATTATTTTTATTATTTTATGGAATACCGATCAGGAGAATAATTTGCTTTAAACTTATCGTATCATTTCCCAACCTTAATTTGTCAACTTTTTCCTTTTTTTTCCCATTAGAGAAGGCTCAAAGGCACAATGTCTTCAGAGCTAAACCCTCTAACTTCTAATATTAAATATTGGTCTTTTGGGAGTGTTATCCAATTACATCATTTCTGAAATACAGAACAGACCACAACCAGAGAACGTGCCCGATGCTGTCAGTACCATAAGGACAGTGGACAATGTTGAACACTAATATTCTAAAAGCACTTGCCTGTTCCAATGCTTCCAGCACATTCCTAATAAGAACATCTTCCACATCCTTCCTTTTGTCAAATTTCATCACTTTATATTTATCTGAACTAAACTGTCTAATTTTGTCAAATTTCATCACTTTATATTTATCTGAACTGAACTGTGTAACGTTATTCGAGTTTCTACAGATCCTTCAATACATATTGTTTATAGTTTGCCGCAATCTGCAACTTTAGACATCTAAATGAACTGTTTTTTCAAAAAAAACAAACAATAGTCCCTGCAATTTTCTGTAACCAATTGATCCCATAGAAAAAGAGGTGAACTGTAGATTAAATATTAGCTTTCATTCATTGCTATAGGTTTTACTGATGTGTACCTAATCTTTCTAGCATCATCAACATCAACTGTCCAGCCAAATACAGTGATATGTTCTTACAACAGGGAATCTATTTCAATCATGTACTTTTGCTTCTGTTGGTCAAACAGTAGAATGTTTTATTGAAGCTAGCAATTATTTTAAATAACATGCTTGCTTAAATAGAAATGTCAAATTCAACTGCACTATTGGCACCATTCTTGGTGATCTGGTGCCGTATCAAAGGCATCTATCTACACATCTCTCTGGCATTCATCTCCTATGCCCATGTCTGAATTAAGACTGTGATGAAATCCAGAACCAAGCAGTTATTATAATAGAAATGATAAACGATGAAGAATTAATACCTGGCCAGGAGACTACCAGATCCATTGCCAATTAAACTTACGTCAGTATGATAGTAACACACAGAAGCTTCATGGAAGAAATCATGTCTGTGACATCGATTAGTAAGAACAAGGTCATTTTGATTGTTTTTTTAAAATTTATTAACAGAATGAGGGCGTTGCTGGCCAGGCAGCGTTTATTTCCTGTCCCTAATTGCCCAGAGGGCAGTTCAGAGTCAGCCACATTGCTGAGGGTCTGCAGTCACATGTAGGCCAGATCAAGTCAGGATGGCAGTTTCCTTCTCTAAAGAACATTAGTGAACCAGATGGGTTTTTTTCCGACAATCAACAATAGATTCATGGTCATCATTAGATTCTTAATTCCAGATATTTTTATTGAATTCAAATTCCACCATCTGCCATGGTGGGATTTGAACCTGGGTTCCCAGAACACTATCTGGGTCTCTGGATTAACAGTCCAGTGATAATACTACTAGGCCATCACCTCCCCATTATCTAATAAAAGGCTAGTCATTTGATGGTACAGAACATGGAAACTGATGTTAGTTTTGGTGGTTATTCTTGGTCTTGAAAAGCACCTAGTCTACTTCAGACTGCCACGGAAGAGTAAAGTACCTGAAAATTTTAAGCAACGTGCGTGGTGCTCAACACTAACAGGCTGGTTTCAAAGACATTTTATCTCTCACTGAAGTGAGTCACTTGGTGTATGAATATCAGTGCCAGTATGACATCAGATATATAGGCCATACGTCCCTAGCCTTCTCAAACGGCATACTGTTTTGGTTATTCACAAGCAAGGTACTGAACAATGTAACCAGCCTGCACTTGCAAATCGTGCAGTGCCCAACACTAGATGTGATTTTGCAATTGGACATTAGCTGGATAATACTAATGGATAATATAACAAATTACACTGACAACCAATGTATAATTGTAGTTTGAGATTGTAGTGTGGTGCACTAATGTGAATCTAACACCATATCTATTAATGCACAATGCTTGGTTCTTGGCAAACAAAAAGAACATGTGCACTCACTGTCTGTTTCAACTCAACAAAATAGGCAAGAGGCATTTTCTGACTTAACCAATCAACCCGAGTGTAAAATGCCCTGATAAGTGTAGGCTTTTCATCTTAGAGACTGTAGAGGAATTGAGAGAAGTGGCAGTGAGGTAATACGTGTGCTGTCAGCAAACACATGGAACTCGGCAGTGTGTTTTAGATGATGTCACTGAAGAGCAGAATGCAGATGAAAATAGGAGAAGCCAAGTTCTGAGGAAGGGTCACTGGACCCGAAACATTAACTCTGTTTTCTCCTCCATAGATGCTGCCAGACCTGCTGAGCTGTTCCAGCAACTTTGTTTTTGTTCCTGATTTACAGCATCTGCAGTTCTTTTGGTTTTTAGAACCAAGGATAGTTTCCCAGGAGATTCTGGAGACAGTTGCGAAGGGGTGGGAAAAGAACTTATTTCAGACGAGCCTCTGGCTATTGCTAGATATTTGAAAGTGAGAAACTGATATTTAGCTGTAGTCCACACAGGTGCATAAGATGTGTTAAAGGGGCATGGTGTGGACTACTGTGTCAATAAATGCAATGGTGCCATAGGAACACCACTGTCTCTGAACCACACATCATCTTACTAGGATTTACACTGCTAATCTTTTATCAGTACTGGATCATAATCTTGGAATTCCAATTTAACCCTGTGAGCAAGCACCATGACAATGCAATTATTCAATGTGAAAGACCCCCACCATTTCCTCTGGATAATTAGGAATGGGTAATAAATGCTACTTTCACCACACAGTAAAATGTCATATAACTATAATGAAAAGAGGAGTTTTCTAGAATCGATTCTAAATACTTCACAGTAAATGACTTTGAAAAGATTACTAACTTAACCTTAGTTCAACCTCAGCTGCTGAACAATATATTGTGTACAACACTGTGATACTCCTATCATTTCACAACAGCTAATTATTCAAATTCCTATCCTATAAAAGATACTTGCTGCAGTGCCATATCTCTTCAAAGTTCTGAGGATGACAATTGTTAAAATCGCTTCTCTATGGCAGACAAACTACCTTCTCTCTCTCGTGAAAATTAATTAATATGAAATTTAAATACAGTAGCTATTATAACCAGCATAGAAACACAGAAAATAGGAGGAAGCCATTTGGCCCTCTCGGCTTGCTCTGCGAGTCAATATTATCATGGATGATCATCCAATCAGTACCTGTTCCCTTTCTTTCCCCATACTTTTGATGCATTTAGCCCCAAGAATGACATCTATCTGCTTCTTGAAAACTTAATGTTTTGGCTGCTAATGTTTTTGTGATAGAGAATTCCACAGGGCCATCACTCTCGGGGTGAAGAAATTTCTCATCTCAGTCCTTAATGGCCTAAACTGTATCCTTAAACTTTCACTGCTGGTTCCAGTCATTGGGAACATCCTTCCTGTGCTTACCCTGACTAATCCTCCTTAAATAAACCAGGAAATTACAGGTCAGTCAGTTTACCCCAGTGGTGGGGAAACTACTGGAAGCAATTTTGAGGGACAGAATTAATCGACACTTAGAGAGGCGAGATTTAATCAGGAAAGTCAGCATGGTTGTGTTAAGGGAAGGTCATATTTGACCAACGAAGAATTTTTGAATAGGTGATTAGTTGTGTAGATGAGGGCAGTGCATTTGACGCAGTCTACTTGGACTTCAGCAAGGCTTTTGGCAAGGTCCAGCATGGGAGACTGATAGCGAAAATAAGAGGCCAAAGAATCCAAGGAGATTTAGCTAATTGGATCCAGAATTAGATGAGCAGCAGGAAGCAGGTGACAGTAGTGGAGTATTTGTGTGACTGGAAGTCACAAGTGAAGCGTGTCAAGTGGAGTTCCGTAGTGATCAGTGTTTGGCCACTTGCTGTTTGTAGTGCATATAAACGATTTTTAGGCTTGAACGTACAAAGGTTAATCAGTAAGTTTGCAGATGATGTGAAAATTGGTGAGATGGTGAACATTGAGATAGCTTGAGATCACAGGTGGAGTAGAGACAGCCTGGTCAGATGGACTGACCAATGGCAAATGGAATTCAATCCGGATAAGTATGAGGTGATGTACTTGGGCAGGACTATCAAGACAAGTGAGTACATAAAGAGAGGTAGGATCCTGAGAAGCACGAAGTATCAAAGGAACCTTGGTGTGCATGTCCACAGGTCCCTTAAGGCATCAGAACAGGAGCAACAATAGTTGAGAAGATACGTGGCACACTGGCTTTTATTAGCCAAGTCATGGATTTTAAGAGCAGAGAGATAATACTGGAACTGTATAAAAAGTTGGTTAGGCCAGATTGAGAGTATTGTATGCAGTTCTGGAATCCACATTGTAAGAGGGATGCGACAGCACTGGAGAGGGTTCAGACGAGATTTACCAGGATGTTACCTAGGCTGGAGAGTTTTAGCTATGAAGAGAGAGATTGGACAGACTGGGGTTGTTTTTCTCGGAGCAGAGGAGACTAGGGTGGGGAGGGGTGTGCACGATTGAGATCTATAAAATTATGAGGGGCATAAATATGGTTGACAGGAAGAACTTTTCCTGCTTTGGAGGAGAGATCAATGACCAGGGACAGAGATTAAAAGTAAGGAACAGGAGACTTACAGGGTATGTGAGGAAACCTTGTTTACACCCAGAGTGAATCTGGAACTCCGTCTGTAGGGGTGGTAGAGTAAAAAACATCATAACATTTAAGCATTTAAATATGCACTTGTGATGCTAAGGCATACAAGGTTATGGGTCAAGTGCTGGAAAATAGGATTAGAATAATTAGGTGCTTGTTTTTAACTGGCACAGATTTAAGTGGCCAAGGGCCTTTTTCCATGCTGTAGACCTCTGACTAATTTTACAGCTTATTTCAGAGGGAACACCCTATTTTCTAAATCAACTCACACTGACAAGCAAATAATTTGATAATCCTAAATGCAAGCTTGATAATTATAACTGGAAATAAAGATAACATAGGAACAAAGATTTAACTAGCTACCATAGTTTAGCAACAGCGCATTGTATTTCCCCAAACTGAATTTAAAGGAAAGATATGAAGGCTAAATCTGAGGTAACAGTTACCAGAAAAGATTTCACACTATATACTTATGAAATAACTACAGCATAGAAATGGTCAGCTGGCTCATCATGTCTATGTTAGCCTTTGGAAGGGCAATTCAGCTGGCCCCACTCCCCTGCCCTCTCTTTATAGCCTGACAATTATTTTCTGTACTCTTTGTTGAATCATCAGTATACTTCTGTTCTGAATGATATCACTGATTTAACAGCTGTCTTATCTAGATTTTCATCACCATCCTGTAGATCTTGAGGTGCCCTATTTAGTTGTGACATATTGACAATTACAAACAAAAGCAAATAAAAAAACCCAACCAACAATCATTAAGATCTCACTTTAAAGTTACACCTTTGATTCTGTAAAATGTACTTTCAAAAAAATTATCTAGATACAAAGCAAGTACTGTCCTTTAGATGAGTCACTAAACCCACTAATGGCTCAGCTCCAGCAGTTGAAAAAGTAGTTAGTTATTCTAGTATTATGACCAATATTCCCCCTCTCAAATCAAAACCATCTAAAATTAAGAAACAAAATCACCATGTTGATATTTGTGGGCACATTCTGTACACAAACTGGATGTTGTGTATGACTACACATCAAGTCATCAAACTTGGAAATAAGTAATTGTATAGCATGTTAAGATGTACAAACCTAAAATATAACTTTAATACTTGAAGGGGAACACCACAACCAAAAAAAGGTCACATTTAACAACAAACTCATTGGAATCCATCTTATCACGATTCCACCTATTTATTCAACTCAGGGACAGCAATAAGGATCACATTTAATTCACATGCCTTGAAGAAATTGAAAGATCTTGGTTCTGAATGAGTTGATAAGCCTAACTGGAGAAATTTAGTTGTAATTCACTATTCTGACTGGCGGGGGGAGGGTGGGGGGTTTCGGGTTTGGATTTGGAGACAAATGGGGCAGGGGCAGAAACACGGAGGGGATGCTTGGGGGGGGGAACCCAGACGAAGCACACGGGGGGGTCTACGGGGTGGGGGGGGGGGAAGCGTACAGACCGGGAACCTCTTGTACGGGGGTGCCACAGAGAGGGGGCTGCCCGAGACTTGGGGGCTGTGTATGTGAGTGGGAAGGGGCCGTGGGAGGACGACTATTCCCTGACTTTCAAAACTTTCACCCGCCACCACACTGGCGCTTTGGGCTCCATCAAAAATAAGAGCCAACACCGGTCCTGCAAAAACAAAATGAGAGGGGTGAAGGAAGCGGTGGAAGGAGCAGAGGGAGCCAGGCTGCGCCCGTATGTAGCGGGCCGTGGGATTACGGTGCAACCGGTCCCCTCCCCTCAGCGAAGGCACAGCTAATCCCCGGGCCTGGCTCCATACACACTCTCCCCACAGCCTGAGCTCTGCTGGCCATGGCGTCACAGCAACCGCTCACCTCAGGACCGGGAGCTGGGGCTCGAGGCCTCCGAGAGGGTATAGGGGAAATAAACAAAACCTCCTCCAACCGGGAGACAAATACCGCCGGCGTTTAATCCCCTCCGCGCCCGGTTTGCCCCTCCGTTCCCCCCCCCCAACTCACCATCTTGTCCTCCTCAGAGCGACGGGGTAACTAGGGGCGGCGACGTCAGTACGTAGCAACGCCGGCGCAACTTGTCATCACGCTGTCAACACGCCGGAGTTCCGACCATGTGATCCACCCTCGCCCCGCCTCCCGATGACGCGCCCCTCATCCCCCGCCTCCACATCAATTTCCATTCCCTCTCGTCTTCCGACTTCACAGGGAAATGCCGAGCCTGCGATTTACGTCACAGAAAGGTGCGCGCCGCCGGGTGACGTCCCTGGTTTTGGGGTGGGTTCGTGGAGGGAAGGAGGAGGCGACCTCCGCGTGCGTTGATTGGACGCGAGGCCGCCGCCGGAGGAGGGAAACAGTCAAATTGATACTTTGTTTTCTCCGCCCGATGGGCCTCAATGTAACAAATAAAAGATACAGTAACTCTCCAGGTACGTTCGTAACTTTGTCGCAGTCTTTTCCTTTCTTTGCTCCCTGCTTTATTTCACCCGCTCGCAATGCTCGCAGCCGCGTTCGGGTTTCCCACCCCCTCAGGAGCTGTCATTCCCCGGTTGCCCCACTTTGTACTCGTGTCACCCAGAGCTGACCCTCACTTGCTGTTCCTCAGTCCCCGCTCATTGCAACGTTCAGTCACTGTATGAGTGCAACTTCCAATCATGATCGCTTGACCTAAAAGCGGCAAATTAGCGATTGGAGATTCTAAATGGGTTTTCGACTCGTACAGCAATTATTTGCCACTTGTCGGATTGAAGATTTGCATTTCTGTGGTGCCTTTCACGACCTCGGATGTTTCAAAGTGCTTCAAAGTGAATGTGGTACTTGGGAGCAAAAACAAAGTTGCTGGAAAAGCCCAGCAGGTATGGCAGCTTCTGTGAAAGAAAAACAAGTTAACGTTTCGGGTCCGGTGACCCTTCCTCAGAACTGAAATAATATATGAATGGTCAGTGTTCAATTTCCAAACTAAGTAGTAGTTAATCAATGATTACTAAATAAGCAATAAGCAATAAGCAATAAGTCCTTTGAAGTTCAGTTTTTGTTTACATATGGCTGTTAGCGTACTCAAGAGTTTGATGGCAGATGTTGCATTTTTTTAGCTTTATGGGAACGTATTTAATGAAGGTAGACTGGTGAGATATTGCATCACATTCACACATGCTGCACTGGTTACAATAGTTTTTGTTTTGTTGTTATGAATCCAAAGCACTTTCTACTTTGAACAAGTTCTAATTGTTCACAGTGACATGACTCTGACGTTAAGTGTCAAGAAACCCCATGTTCCATATGCAAGACTTCTTTCTCTGAGAGATAGTAGGAACTGCAGATGCTGGAGAATCTGAGATAACAAGGTGTAGAGCTGGATGAACACAGCAGGCCGAGTAGGAAGGCTGACGTTACAGGCCTAGACCCTTCATCAGAAATGGGGGAGGGGAGGGGAAGGGGGTTCTGAAATAAATAGGGAGAGAGGGGGAGGCGGATAGAAGATGGATAGAGGAGAAGATAGGTGGAGAGGAAACAGAG